TTAGACAAATAGACATAGTCCAAACAGTTCAAAACAGACTAGTGAACTGAACTTCCCCAAGAAAATCTTTAAGTCCTAACCTCCAAGGACTCACTATGTGACCTTGTTTCAAAACAGAGTTGCTATAGATGTACAGCAGTCCTTGGAAATGAATACACTTCGTATTTATGTTTTAAAAAAAGAACATTTCCGCCTTGTACTGTAAAAAAGTGAGTTCTAGAGAGATGGTAGAACTAAATGAAAAAGGTCAAATAATAAAACTTTTAGAAAACAACTCAAAAAATATCTTTGTGTCTTGCCATAGGTAAAGATTTAGAGAAACAGAAAGCAAGAAAGTATTGACCACAAAGGAAAAATAAGATAATTTGGATTATACTAAAATTAAGAGTAGCTTTATTAAATGACATCAACAGAATCAAAGGGAAGATACCCAGTGGAGGAGGAAACTGTAATACATGTCTGACAAATAACTACAAATCAATGAGGAACACAAGACACCCCAATAAGAAAGTGGCAAAGAGACAAGAAGACAAAGCAGGGAATATTCAATAAATACTTTTTAAAATCCAGTTTAATTATCAAAGAAAGCAAAATAAAATCACAATGGGTTACCAAGCTGTGCTGGCCAGACTGTCTAAATGAGCTGGACAAACACCCTGAAAGGCTGTGAGGGAATGGAGGCTGCAGACTTCTCCACGGCTGCTGGAGGTGCACTACTGAACGCTGGTGCACTGGAGATGTACTCAAAAGCTGAACGTATGAACTACACCTTTCCTTGGCCTAGCACCAGGAGTCCATCCTACAGAAATACCACATGCTTACCGAACTGAGGAACTACTGGTAACAGTTTCAAACTGGAAACAATTCAAAAAGTCTGCCTATCTCAGAGGTCTGGTCTGTTTATAGAAGACCAGGCATACAACAAGCTGAATGAACAAACTCTAGCTTTAACAGGGGCATGCTTTACTCATATAAAGTTTGTAATAGATAAAAACCAACCTTTGTTATTTATAAGCACATTACTAGCTAGGAGTTTCTAGGAGTTTCCTTTTTCCATTTGGCTATTGCTTACAATGCATGCTCATTTCGTGAAAAATTCATTATCAGTATACTCAACAACCTGTGCATTGTTTTACACAAAAATGTTATACTTCAATTAAAAGCGATTTCAGAAATCTTAGGGTTACTGTAAGAAAGTCAGAAACAAAACTCCTGTAAGCACTGAAAGCAAAGAAGCACTGCAATTTAATTTTTCAGCAAGACAATTTAAAACTTTACCGTACTAAGAGCGTAAAAGTGCCATTTCATTAAACTGCAGTTTTTATTCACTTAAGATGATTGTCCTGACGAAGCCATTTTATTATTATATGTTAGGACGGCATGAAGCACACAGTTTCAGAGTACAGTAACATGCATTATTTCAATTTTGCCTTATTGAGTTCTAAGTAAAAATTTGGGTAGTCAAGGCCAACCTCATATACATCAAAACTATTTTCTTAGAACCCTGGTTTATAACCTGGAACATTCTAGATGGGAAATTCTTGGGGGAAAGGAGTTTTCTTCCTTAGTTCATAGAAGATACTCAGTATTTCCTTCTAGAGTCCTTGCATGAGACCATCTCATTCCTGTCTCTGTAGACTTGTGGACAGGTGGATAATTTCTAAGAGACACTCTGAAATACTGAAAGTAACTCTGAGAACACTTATCTGTCTTTGAATTTCCAGGCTCTTTAGACGCTCACTCTGGAACATACACGTATATACAGTCCTGGCTGACCTCAGATGAACCAGCATTACAGGGTGCATCACAGGGTAGGAGATTTGGTTCTTTGGTTTTAAGGGCAGTCTCATCTTCATCTTCTGGTCAGAGTCAGCCTATTATCATTACACACATGCCCAACACAAGTGTCCAAACAATCACTAGTATATAGGGCTGGCCAGACTGGCCTTCGCAAACAGCTTTGTTTCCTGGCCTCTCTGGAGAAAAGGTTGCCTTGTGCAATCAAGCTAGTGCCCAGAGAGTAAAGGCCACCTGCACAGGAAGTGAGAGACAGACACATCACAATAGGCACACACCATGGCCCACATTCTGTGCTGTGAGAAAACTGAGCAGACTGGAGGATGCGGGATTCCTGAGGAGGAAACATTACTTAGCTAACCCTCATCCTGAGAGGAAAGCCTGAGGGCCGGGTCCTGTAGTTGCTTTAGTCTCTGTATTGAAATCTGTGCTTTCCTTTGGTCATTCCATTTCCCTGAATATTAGCTTCCCAAAGAATATGACTTCTCACACTCATGCTCTGCTGTTCTTGTAAAGATTTAGCAACGCTAGGCCTACCTGTAACTTCACCAATTGCTGGAGGATGAGACCGTGGGTCCTTTAACCCCTCTCACCCTCACTCCCAAGTCCCTGGCTTGAGTTCTTTCTAGTAAGAGAATAAATTCTTTATCATGAGTATCTCAAGGGATTCTGTCTTCTGAAAATGAAGATAAATATCAGGAGTCATATATAATAGTTAGGAATTTATATGAACACAGGAAAATCACCACCCAGGCCAGTTCCTTTAAGAATCTTTTTAGCTGAAGGACTGAATTCTGCCACCAATGGAAGGGAGTCACAAGCTGTAGTATGTAGGAAGATCAGATCTGCAGCCTGCTTTTGTATGACTGGTAAGTTAGGAACAGGTTTTGAGCTGGGTGTAGTGGAACATGCCTTTAAACCCAGCACTTGGAAGGCAGAGGCAGGTGAGGTGAGTTCCAAGGCAGCTTTGTAATGGTTGGAAAAAAAAAAAAATCAAAGAATATTTTTGACACAAGGACATTATATGAAATTCTAATTCTGTGTCCATAGATGAATCTTACTGGCACTCAGCCATACCCATTTGTTTGTGTTTTGTCTGGGGCTGCTTGCAAATGACAATAACAGAATTGTCTCAATAGAGTTCGTATGGTCCACAAAGATGAAAATATTCATGGTCTAGCCCTTTACAGAAAATGTGTGCCAGTCCTGAGCTAAAGTAATTGCTGGGTTTGCACAACGTTGTCCACACTCCCTCAGGGTTCTATGCCCCTGTAACAAGTCAAAGGCAAATCCTAAAGTCATTGTGAAGTTCCCCATAATTAGGCAAACCAACACAGCCCACTAGAGTGTTGTCTTTCAATCTGTGGACAGTGGGTCACAAAATTCAACAGTTATATCTATCAGGTTCTTTAATTAAGTAAAAGACAAAATTTTCAAGGGCATTGTTATGGACTGAATTATGCTCCAACCCCATACTCATATATTGAAGCCTTAACCCCTAGTACACATCAATATGTGACTATATTTGGAGATAAGGTCTTTAAAAAGAAAATGAAGTTAAAATGAGGTTAAAAAAAGTGGGTTCTAATCCAATAATCTAATAATCCTTATTATAGAAATAAGTCTCCAGAACTGTGAGGAAATAAATTTCTATTGTTTATGTTTCCCAGTCTATAGTACTGTTATGGCAACCCTAGCAAACCAACATTGTTACATATATAGTGCTATTTTGAGGAAAAATGTTTTTCAGTCATAAATGTGTATAATAGTCCTATAATAGAAGAGTATTAAATTCTGTGTGTCACACCAAAAAAAATTGGACAATGCCTCATTAGAAGGAGAGACATACATACGTGTAGCAAAATCATCAACATTGGTCAAAGGAGGGAGAAAGAGCACTTACTGAAGACAAGGCACTTCCATACATAGCACACATAATCTCAGTAAGTCCTCACAGTAATTTTATGTGACAAACCACATTTCATACCTTCAATGACAAACTACAGAGAACAAGTCAGGTGTATCTGACTCTAAAGCTTATGTATTACTTTTCATCATGAATCAATGAATGTCTATATCCCTGAGACAGGTCATAGCCGAAGCTTCCAAATAGGTTGTCACTGACAGTAAATAAGAGAAAACATTCTATTTACTGAGTATTTATTAGGTGCCAGGTTCTGTGTGGGGCTTCACTTTATCCTATCAGTAACTCAAAAGTTTATACTCTATCACTGTTTTGCAGCTGAAGAATGGAATCTGGAAGAAATTAAGTTGCCCAGGATTCCAAAGCCAAAAGTCGCACACTCAGAACTTGAAGCCTCACAGATCTGGCATTTGAGCTGAGCCCTTGACGGCCACAAATTCTCCTTCGACCTGACTGTATGTATTGCCATTTAAGGATGTAACTGCTGGGTTCAGAAACCCTACTGAAGGAAAAAGAAAAAGCATGTTTTTATACATACATCCAGTAAGTACTGATCGAGCATCAGGCCTTAGTCAGAGAGTTAGGGATAAAAGAGTGAAGAAAACAGATAGAAATTTTGCTACCATGGTGACCATATGGGTAAGAAAAATCTTTAGTAATATATCATGTAAGTTAAAATCATATGGGGGGGGGTGGAGAGATGGGTCAGTGGTTCAGAGCACTGGCTGCTCTTGCAGAGGACCAAGGCTCACATCCCAGTGATGGCTAACAACTGTCTGTAACACCAGCTCCAGGGGAATTTGTTGCTCCCTTCTGACTTCTGAGGGTACCTGCATGCAGGTGGTGCACGTACATACATGAAGGCAAAATACACACATTAGATAATAAAAGTTAATTTTAGCCAGGTATGGTGGTGCACACCTTTAATCCCAGCACTGGGGAGGCAGATGCAGGTGGATCTCTGGGAGTTCAAGGCCAATCTGGTCTACATAGTGAGTTCCAGGATAGCTGGGGCTACAGGGAGACCCTGTTTCAAAAAGACAAAAAAAAACAAAAAAAAAAAAAAAAAAAGAAAATTTTAAAAATTAAAAAAATCTTTCTAAGATGAGTCAAACTAGCTCACTATGATTTGATAATGAAAATACATGAAAACCTGAGAAACTGAAAAAAAATTAAGAAAAATCACGTATAGGTAAGGTTAGTGACAAGTAAAATTCATGTGCATCAAAGACACAAGCCTGTGAAATGGCAAAAGTTATAGAAAATGGATGAAGGCAGACAAAAAATTTTTGGTAAATGAATTAGTTTTTGTGGTGCTGAGAATTGATCCTAGGGCCCCAAGTATGCCAGACGAGCACTCTATCACTGAGCTATATCCCTACTTGTTTTTACTTTTTATTCTGAGAGTTTTGCTAAGTTACCCAGGGTAGGCAGAATATCAATTTCTAAAGTATTTTTATAAGTTTTCTTTATAATTTTTACTTGAGATTTAAATAAATAAATTTAAATAAAATTTTAATTTTGTTAAAAAATTTGACACAAGAATTTTAAGATTCATATAAAATCATAATTAGGATTTAGATTTAAACTTTTACTTTATTTATTCAAGCCTATTAATCCTTTCCTGCAGAAATAACCAGAGAAGCAAACACTTTGGTGCCAGAATGTTTACAGTGGTGTTATTATAATATTAAGTATAAGAATATTTAACTGCATAATAATCAGATAGTGAATGGCTAGATAAATCAGTCTGTTCACATAATGGAAACCATCACAGTTCTTTAATCATACTAGAAAATTATCATAATATTAAATGAAAGAAGATCTAAACATACACACGAGAAATAAATATATCTTAACATTGTTATCTCAGTGTTGGTGTGATGAAATTTTTAATCTTTTGCTTTGTAGTTCACCACCTTTTCTACATTGAACTTTACAGTCAAGGCAAAATTAAAATCTTATTATAGAAATTTACATCAAAGGGAGGGCATGCCTATCCTATACACCTCTGCTTCTGCTGTTTATCTGAGACTTGCTCAGGACCTTGGCCAACTGAGGCCTCTAACAACACTACCATAGGTGGAAAATTCTAATAATGTCATTTAAATATTTTATTACATTTATATATTTAGTGTATATGTGTGAGTGTGGATGTGTGTGCCACAGTTTGTGTGTGTGTGTGTGTGTGTGTGTGTGTAAGAGAGAACAACTTGTAGGAGTTGGTTCTCTCCTTCTACCATGTGGGTTCAGGTATCAGAATCAGAATGTCAGGCTTGGTGGCAAGTATCTTTACCCATCCACCCTAATAATGTATTTTTAAATACATTTTTCTAAATTCACTTGCATAGAGGTGTCAAAATAGATTCATCAGTGGTCAAGGACATCACCAGGATGAGAGAAATAATTACAATGAATTCTTTGGCTATGACAACACATGTACTTAGCAAATATATATAAAGTGCCTGTCATGCTCCAAGCATCCTGTTAGGTACCAGAGGGTCAAATTAGGTCTCTGGGAACAAATGAGCCACAGGGCTGACATTGGCCCTTTGTGCCCAACCTCAGCAGGATGCAGCGGAAGGCAAGGATGGGCAGCAATCCTCAAGAGGCTCTGACCCAGCCTGGATGTGTGGCTCCAGAAAGGCTGGCTTCAATTCTCTGGCTCCAGCTACCTCATTTGTAAAACAAGGATAATCCTGACCCAGTTTGAAGCACTGTGGTGAAGAATAAGTGTAAAGTATTCCAGGCTTGTTTCTATCTTTCCAGTGCCAGATGGAGTCTACATGTTAATGGGCAATGTTCCTTCCTTCCTTGGGAAATTTATATTTATTCTTTAAGAAAAACTAAAGGGCTGGAAATGAGGCTCTCTAATTAAAGGGATGTTTCACATTTTTTTTCTTTCAGATACTCAGATCGGCAATTATAAAAATGAATACTCATTTTCCAAACCCCAGACAAAAAAGTAAAGGGACTTCAAAGTTGTGGGAAAGTTCAGTCACATTCCAAGGGCAAAGCGAGGTGAGATGCAGTCAGTCAGGGAATGAATGCAATTGTGATCAATATTTTGGAAATCTGTGAAAGGGATCCATAGCTTTCCCTTTCCACCTTTTAGGGAGTTGGCCATTTATTTTTAAAGCAAAATTTAAACATTGTTTTTTTACAAAGTTAACATTTCTAAGAAAAAACTAAGAGACACTGATAAGTTACCAACCATTTTGCTCAAGTGTAAACAACCAAACAGCTCCTGTTGCTCCCCAAGCTGAGCTGACTTTCCAAGCAGTGGGAACATTTGCATCAATCAATCCCAGTTACAAACGGGGTCAAGGAGAAAAGCTGGGAAGGGTGTGATAGGGAGGACATGGGGACCTATCTGTGAGGGTCTGTCAGGGAAATATAAGGTGGGTAACTGATCAAATGCACACAGCCTGAGGAAAGGCCACACTAACCCCTAGGGCTTACATTTGATGCAGAAACTCAGAAGTTACCAAGTACGTGTTTTATAACATGCTCTGATTCTTTTTGGTACTTCTGCTACAGTAAGAATTGATCATTGGAACGTTTGGACAGCTCCACAGATACCTAGGCTAGAACTACTCTCCTCCAGCTCTTAGCTTCATAGTGGTACATGCATAACCACCCAGGTAAGGCTAAGCATGAAGGGCTTAGGTGAACGAACACCTCTACTTTATCATCTTTCGGGGGACAGTGAGTATGGTCCTGACCCTGCTGTGCCTTTGCCTCCTCCACCCACTGCACCCTTGTGTTTCTGAGTCTCTTGAATTGCAGCTCCCTGTGCAAATGAGCAGGAGCAGCAGCCACAGGCAGGATGGGCAGGGCTTGCAACCTGTACCCATGGCAACCGTCAAGCCCTATTCTGAAGGACAGGATGAGAATGCTAGGATAAATTCAGTAACTGCTCCACTTTTTAAAAGGGAGTTGTAAAAATTATCTTTAAAATGCTTGCTGATGCCCTGTGGGTATGAGTCACTTTGTGAAGCAGGATCAAAATGGATCCTCTATTATGGGTTTCTGCTGGCTCTTTGATTCTGAACAACTTTATTAATGTTAATAGGAGTTATGCACACATCAATGAGAGAATAAATTCCTTGGGTTTAGGGAAGCTTCAATTAGTGATCTGTATTAAGCAATGTAAAATGCTTTTTAATTTTCTCTCAAGTAATGAGACACCACCCCAGAAGGGTTGAAAATGAGGGACAGGTCTTAGTGCAGGGCAGGAAAGACAGGGGGGGATGGGAACAGGCACTCCATCCAGTTGGGCTCTACACCTAGGTCCTCCACATCATCTATGAGAGTGCAACAGGAGGCACAGACACAACTTGCCCAGGGGATAATACATGTGATGAAGGGATGAGAAAAATATGCACAAAAATTTTGAGGTTGCTGCAGAAGGGATTTACTATGATCTAAAACAGTACTGACCTCAGCCGGGTTTCCCAAATCTGTTACTACATCGTTTCATTTTTTTTTTTTAAAGCATAAGTTAATACTATTTACTGACTTCCAAAAATACCAAGACAGAAATGGGAATTTAAATCGCAAGGATGATGCAGCAGAAATCCTAATGAGCAGATTATTTTGCAGTGGCATAAAGCCCTGCTGGCATTTCTGGAAACCCAGCTTTTAACAGTACCCTGCTCAGGCCCGAGGGTCTCTCTCAACTCCTCTCATGGTGAATTCATTGTCAGATTACTGAGCATTCTAAGGACAATGGGTTAGAATGCTGTGGGGGCTGCAGCAGAGAGCAGCCTAAATGACGAAGCCTAATTTCTGTGACTTGAAAAGAGAACTGATAAAAATTTTAATTTAACAATTTTCTCCATAGTTTTTACTGTTCCACACTTAATTACTTCATACTTCCTTTCATTTTACCCTTATGTTTCACAGACAGCAAAAAGGCCTTAGCCAGAAAATAACAAGATCCCCAACATAAAGGGTCAGATGCATGTTGACAGATGTGAGGACATGTCTGTGCACAGCTTCTGAGAGAGATCTGGAAACCTGGGCTGTACTATAGGAGGATTGGCAGCACCTCCCTTATCAATGGGGCAAAATCTTGAGCATCTGGCTTACTGGTGACTTGACAGAGTGCAGAACATTTTAGGTTCAAAGTGTCCTGCAATTAGATATCTTAATGCAAATGGTTTCCACCACAATCAATGTAAGGCTCCATACACTGTGCACATCTTGTGTTGGACTAGATGGCTTTTCAAGGGAGTCTCTATTGTCTTCTGTAATACTTGTCTTGTCACTCCAGAGCAGAACAAATGATAATTCTTATGACATGTAGTTTAACTGAACAAATGTTTATAGTGAGAGAAACTTGTTGGCTGAGGAAATGTTTGAGTGATACTTGAACACCAAGAATTTAATAGAACTTCCACACCAGCTACATAGATGTGTCTGGGAAAACACAATTTACTCTGAATTATCAGTAAGTTGGTGGGGTGTCTCCAGTGGTCCCAAATAAACTAGAAAAATGTGAGCCAATTACAAAGGCAGTAAGTACACCTGTGGTGCTGAGGATGGAAAACGCAGCCTGGTTTGTGAACTGCTTCTGGATTTCTCCTTCTATTTGCTTCCACTGCTTCTAGAAATATGGAGAGTTCTGGAGATGGCCGTCCTGTAAGCAGATTTTGAGGAAAAGGCTTTGTCTGTGTTTCACACTACCATATGCTGGCATGAATTTGATGGATCCCAGGAGAAGATTGGGGTATAAATTCTGGGGAGGTGAAAATGAAACGAACAGTTGAGTATCAGGCACTATCTCGAGATTCAAAATGCTTACAGTGCACTTGGCAGACAAACTCTACAGACTAATGTCAGCTAATGAGGCAATACTGAACCACTGCTTACCAAGATGGACTTGGTGGCTGGCTTTGAATTAAGTGTGTAAAACTCCTAGGTTTCTCAATGATATATGCTTTCCTTGGCTAGAAAATAGCAAAATCTGGTAACAATAGGGTGCCTTTGCCTAATGTTTAACAGTATCACTCCTGAGATGACTGAATTCAGCTGAAGTTCCTCTAAGACAAGTGGAATGAAGCAGTTTTGCTGTTTATTCAGTTTTCTGGGGTAAAACTGTTCCTAGGATCTTCTATTTGCCTCAAAACATCCAGGCACCTGCCTCCTGCTACACTG